TTTTTTTTTTTTTTTTTTTTTTTTTTTTTTTTTTTTTTTTTTGATTTTCGAGACAGGGTTTCTCTGTAGCTTTTGGTTCCTGTCCTGGAACTACCTCTTCTAGACCAGGCTGGCTATTTCTTTATGCAGTCAAGACATTAATCTCCTGTTAAATGTATTCAACTAGTAGAAATATACTGTGAGAATGCCTCGCCACTGGATTGTTTCCTTTGGCATGTAGAAGTCTTGTAATTTCATGCAATTCATTTGTCAGATCTTGGCTTTATTTCCTGAGCTAACCAGTACTTATAGTATGTTTTTTTCCACTATGCTTGTTAATCCATTTTAATTGATTTATGTATAGAGTAAGAGATAATGATCTGGTTTCATTCTTTTATATGTAAATATCCAGTTCTGACTCTCCCAGCACCTTTTGTGAAGAGACTGTCTTCTCTGATGCATGATTTTGGCATCTTTGTTTAAGGTTAGGTATAGCTTAGTGTGGGTTTTTAAATTTCTACTCCACTGATCTTTTTGCCTGATCTGGTGCCAGCACCATGTTAATTTAGTAGTGAAGTAATATAACTTGTAGTCAGGTATGGTGATCCTTCTCTCATAATAAATGATTCTCTAGGTTTTTTTCCCAAATATATCAACCCATTGTTTTTAGTTATAGATTTTTTATAGTTTAAATTCTGTTGTTTTTCTTTTGTTATACTGTAAATAATATGTCTTATTTCCCCCAAAAAAAGAGTACCTACAAGATTTTCTTCATTGTTGTTTTTATTTAGTAATTTTTAATATATATTTTGGTATAGTTTTGTTCTTATTCATTTTGCCTGAACTTTGTTGAATTTTTAGATTTATAACGTTAATAATATTTAACAAATTTAGAAAATTTGAAATTTCTCTCTCTCTCTTTTTCCCTCTTTGCTTTATGAGATTCTATTAATGACTGAAGTTCTCACAACTACTTGGAATTTTCCATAGTTTTTTAATCTTCATTTTTGCTGTTGTTCACTTAATTCAATACTACTTGATTCTGACTGTTGTTTTGAAATATTGATATTGCCATATCTTATGACTAACTCCATAATAATTCCTTTGGCCTCATTGGCTGTTCGTTTCAGTGAATTTAAATTTCATGTTAAATTTTAATATTCTATTACTTTAATAATATCATAATTTCTTCTAATTTTAAAGCATATAAAATTTGTTTCTGATTTAAGGCTATTTGATAGTGCAAAAGATAATTCCCTCCACCAGTCGTTTGTGTTTCCTGACAGGGCTTGACATGCTTCTTGGCTTGAAGTGTGATTTTCCTGTTACTTTGCTAAATAATGTTTCATTTTTCAAAACTAACAATTGTGAATTTTATCATTTTTACATTTTTATTTCTGAACATAGTGTGGTGGCTAGAGAGAAAATGTCCCCCAAAGGGGGTGGCTCTATTAGGAGGTGTGGCCTAGATAAAATAGCTGTGGTCTTGTTGGAGGAAGTGCGGAAGTGGGCTTTGATGTCATTTTGCTCAAGCTTTCCTAGGTGTGATGCACAGTGCACTTCCTGTTGCATGCAAGATATAGCACTCTCAGCTCTAGCACCATGTCTCCTGGCATACTGCCATGTCTCGCCGTGATGACAATTGACTGAACCTTTTAAATGTAAGCCACCCAATTATATGTTTTTCTTTATAAGAGTTGCTGTGGTCATGGTGTCTCTTCACAGCAATAGAAACCATAATTAAGACACATATTATCAAGTTTTATTCTTGAACAGGATAATACTATTTGGAATCAGTTTTTAGGTCCATTTTAAGTGAACTTCAATAATGTGCATCCTATGTTTATATTTAGAGACAAGTTTTCATGCCCTACATATTTAGTTATACTTGTCTTGAAGGTCTTCCTACTATAGCTTAATAAAACATGAGATTGTCCTTCCTCTATGTCAGTTGGAGGGATTTCTGTTCTTACTTTCTTTCTTCTTGCCATAACTTCTGGTACTTTCCTCCTTCTATGTATGTAGGGATAAGTCCCACCCCTTAGGGGGCGTGTTCGCCTCAGGCTAAAGTTCTCCTATAAAATTGGTGAGCGTGCTCCCAGCGCTCTTCTGCTTTCCTGGTCTCCGCGGGAACAGTGGTTCTGTAAGTCTATTCCTCCATTAAAGCTGTCTATATTTTGACAATCTGTCTGCATTCGCTTACGCCGTTACATATGTATTTGCAGATGAATCCTTTATCAAATGCTCAAATGAAATCCTCTTCAGACCTCCTGAGCCATCTTTGTAGGGTTATATTCCCCCACCATCAGGCCTGCCTACTTTGACCTTTCAGAACTCCCAACTCAGCCATTGTATTCAGCCAAGAATCTGGGATCTGATTATGTTTATGCTTCCACTGATGTATAGATATACGTGTGATATTAGTTTGTACAACTGTAGGTCTTGACTCATTTGTTTCTATCCCTCAGATGACACTGTTTTAAATTATATAGTGGCAAAGATCTAAATAATCTGTTTCCTATGTTTTGTCTACTTTTGTAATTGCCTACATAATGAAAGATGAATTTTATCTTTCACAGTATATCTTGTCCCAAGCCTGTTGATGTTGCACTGAGTTCAGAAACTTGGTTTACACTAAACATCTGCCCTTTCTACTCTGGTTTCTGAGCTGCTAGGGGACTTTTGGAGAAAGTCGCATAAATGTGAGCAATGGTGACACTATATTTTTATGGTTCTCAATTTCAGCTGCCTTCTCAGCTCCATTTCCCACTACAGCTATTTCAAATGTTTGCCAACCGCTTCAAGCCCTCAATTTCAACTCTAGAATCTTTCTCTAAGCAAATTAACCTTTTTATATTCTCAAGGGGAGATTAAGGGTATCAGGATGAAAATTCCTAAAATCTTACATAAATATGCACACAAACACATCTCCTAGCAGGCCCTTTCGGTATACTCAAGAAAACTTTCTGTCCTGTCTTCCTGTGATGCTGATCATAGATTGCCTCATTTCTACACAGTATTTCTCCTTTTTCTATATTTGGCTGCCATTGTGCTACTATTTTCTGATAATATTATTGTTGTAAAGATTAAAATTTTATGAAAGGGTTAGATCCACTCCTCATATGTACAAAAGCTAATAACTTAATTTAAAAGGCAATTAAATGATGCAAGCCACTGTGCAGACAACTGGTGTCCTCTGCATAATTAGTTCCTGATTTACCCCAGTCAAGGCTACTTTTGCTTACAATGCTCCAAGGACTCCCTCTATTGCATAGAAAAAACTAAAATCCCAGAAGGACACTGGACACCCTGCGTAGCCTGGCCCTTCACCATGTCTCATGCCCAGTTGCTCCTTGCCAACACACATTCTTTGGTGGTTTCATGCCCCTTCTAAAAACACAGTCAATATGTGACCTGACCAGCTCCCTAGGGTCATCTTTTCCTTGTACCTCCATGGCTTGTTTCTGACTTCTTTGGGTCTTTTCAAGTTCCACTTGACCAAGCCTTTCTTAACCATTTCTGCATAAAACTGATATTCTTATTCAACCTAGAACTCCCTAATAATATTTCACACCATATTTCACAGTACATAATGCATTTCATGTGGTGTGTGTGTGCGTGCGTGTGTGTGTGTGTGTGTGTGTGTGTTGTTTATTTTTTTCTCCATACTAGCCTTGCGGTTCCATGAAGAGAAGACACTTGAGGTTTTGGTTCACTGTTAAATACAGTATTGGAAAGCAGTTACCTCCAACACAGAATTCATAAAACATTTACTGAATAGAATATTTGAGCCCTTCTTTAGGTTATGTGTTGTAGTTTTCCAGGGTACAACAAACACTTGTGTTTGAAGTTGTTTCCAATTGTCTGATAACAGTTCTATTGGAAAACCTGTCTTTTAAAACTCCAGGATTCCTGTTTCTAGACATGGTTTTGAATCTGTCTTTACTGTTTACTTGAAGTAGTCACATTTTGGGTTTTCTTTGGCATAGGCTTTGGTGAGAGAATTCTAAGCATCTCACTGTGGTTAAGTTCCCAGATAAGAGGAAGCTGAAGTTGATTCCCTTCCCTTCCTGGAAAAATGATCATCTAAGATACAGACAGTCAAAAAATAACAATTTTAGGTAAATCACAGAATCTCTATATTGCCTAAGAGAAGTACTTAAGTATCAATTTAAATAGAGGTAAAAATTTAAATTAAAGAAAAGCACCTATTGTCTATTATCCGTTGCACACAAATTTTAGTATGCTTATAATGGACTATAATTTGTTTACTATTCTTATTACAACTTACTTTTCTTCCTTTTCTTCCCACTTATTTTGTTGTACTGAGGAGTAGATATAAGGTTCCATGCATGCCAGGAAAATTGAAGCACATGTCCAGTACTTCTTTATAAATGTGTTTTGAGCAGGATCTTATTAAGTCACACTGCATTTCCTTGAAACACAAGCAGGGGTGATATTTGTCATTCTCTGAGTAGGTGGTATTACAGGCATGCTCTACCAGGCTCAGCTCTGCTCCCATTACTCACTAATCAGTAAATAACAATTTCTTGGGTCAGAACATGAAGATTTGGCTTATTCTCCTTGATATTTGTTAACCTCCTCTTTCATTTTTAAATTCAAGCATTCATTTCAATTTACACTTCTGTTGACATCACCACAGGGAACATCCTTGTACAAATAACTTTAAATTGTTATTTACTGAAGAAAGCATTAAAATTAGAATTTCTTAAACACATAAAAACCTAAATATTTAAAACTCGGTGTTATTACCAATTTATCGCTAGTAAACTGTTTGGGTTTATATTCATACCACTAAGGCAAATGGTTTCACTGTTTCCAGTATTCTCACAAGAATTGTAGGAGTTTTGTTTTCCTCTAACAATGCCCTCCTTTGTAGCCTTTGCTTATCTTGAGCACTCAGTCCTCCTGACCCAGGATCTGATGTGGAATTCCCCTTTTTATGATGTGAATACCATTAGTTAATAAAGAAACTGCTTTGGACCTATAGCAGGGCAGAACTTAGCTAGGCAGGGAAAATTAAACTGTATGCTGAGAGAAAGAAGGTGGAGTCAGTGACAGGCCATGTAGCTCCATGGGAGACAGACTCCAGGAACTTTACCCAGTAAGCTACAGTCACGTGATGATAATGGGTAACAGATGAATGGAGATGGGTTAGTTTAGGATATAAGAGTTAGCCAGTAATACACTTAAGCTATTGGCCAAACACTATTGAAAAGAATATAGTTTCTGTGTGATTATTTCGGGAGTCTGAGGAGCCGGAGCACAACCAACCAATCTGCGTACAACAAGCTTCCCAAACTAAGTGTGGGTGCTACAGGTCTATGTCAATTTGCATGACTTTGTATACTGCTTTTATTTGCCTGCTTGATCTGATCGAGAAAATTATGTTATGGTCCTTAGATGAATAGTAAAAGTAAAAATTTTTAAGGACTGTTTCTTCATATACATATTTAAGAAGGACTTCATTGTATTGTTTCAATTACCCATATGTATTTTCCATGAATTTCCCCTCCATGGCCCTCTCATTTTTCTGATGTGGTGATTCACTTCTTACTATATCGTACTATAGGATTGCTTTCAGAAACACTTTGTGCAGAGTCAAGCCATCTAATCACATCATCTGTGCGCCATCGTGTCAAGCACATACTGCTTTGCTACTAATACTTAATCCCTGTTATACCCATTTAGTCTTCTTTTATGCAATGATTCCCCAAGACTTGGGAGGTGAGGGGCTGATATAGATTCCCATTTAGGACTAATGATTTTACAGTCTCTTCTTCTCTGTACCCTGACCAGTTATGGGTCTCTGTGTTAATTGCTTCTACAACACATAGAGGCTCCTCTGATGAGGGTGGAGAGAGGCACTAATCCAGAAGTATAACAAACAATAAGTCATCATGCCAGATGTAGTGGCACTCACCTTTGACTCCAGCACTTGTGAGGCAGAGGCAAGCAGATTTTTGTGATTTCAGGATAGCCACTACATTGTGAGTTCCAGGACAGCCAGAGCTGTGTAGAGAGACCCTGTCTCAAATAACAAAACAAATCCAAAAGCTTAGCATGACAATAAGTCATTATTGGTTAGTTTAATACTGTGTCCATTTAGAAGGATATTTGAAGGTTCTCCTCTAGGGCCTATAATTGCCTGTCTAACCACAGGTTATTGGCTCAAGAATGGTGCTGGATAGGGGGTTCATTAAATGGGCTTACATCGAATCAAATCAGAAAGTGGCTGGTTACTCCCATAATTTTATTTTTTTCTTTAAAAATACATAATATCCCATTATTTTTGTATACCACATTTTCATTATTCATTTATCATTTGGTGAACACATAGACTTTTTTTATTCCCTGGCCATTTTGACTAGAGCAGCAATGAACATAAAAGATTAAGTTTCTCAGATTGGCATTAAGTATAAGCCCAGGTATAGTAGGGATGATTCATAAGGTAGATCTATTGCTAGCATTTTAAGGAACTTTAACATTGATGTTCCATGTAACTTTAATATTTTGTTTTCTCATTATCTCACTGTCTTTTTAATAGTTTTGTTTTGTATCTTAAAATTCAAAGTTGTCATGTACATACACTTTGAGATTTTTCACCCTTTCAAAGTTTAATTTCTTGGCTAAATAGCTTCTACCTAAATATTAAATGCTTTCATTCCAAAATTCAATCACTATTGAAGTTTTTCTTAAGATGTTAAAACTTTATAAAGTTTTGATTCAAATAAATCCTTTCTGTTTATTTTTGTCATCAATTTCCATTGCTAATAAAGAAATTTATAAAATATCTGTATGTTTCCTTTCTAGATTTATCTATTTCTGAATGTCTAACTCCGTTTTCCTGTGTTCTCACTCACATGCACATGTGTGTGTGCACATGTTCTCCACAGAACAGCTCTTAGGAATGAGTTCTCACATGGAAACTCAGAGTTTTAGGCCTACACTCAAGTGCCTCTACCTTAACCTTGCTATCCCAGAACTCCTGTTTTGACTTTCTTTCTAATAGTCCAATAGTAACACTAAAGTTATTGCTGTGCAAACAACAAAGGGTTACATACAAGCAAAGTAAATAGTTAAACTTGAAATTTTTCTTCTGGTCCTCACTGTGGATGATTTTGAATTTTTCAATCAGGTTACCTAAATGTCTAAATCTACATGTTCTATTTTTTGTTGTTGTTTATTTGGGGAAATAGGTTTCCATAAACTAAGGACTGACCTAAAATTTGCTATGTAGCAGAGGAGGTCCTTCGATTTCTTATTTTCCCAAGGCCTGTGATTACAGGCATACACCACTCTGTACAGTTTTGTGGGATGCTGACAATGAAGCTAATACTGCACAATACCCTGCAAACACTCAACCACTAGTGTCCCCATGTTTACCTTTCTATGCTTCCCACAGAATTCACGCTCCTTCCCTCACCATGGGATCTGCTTTAGAAAAAGTTAATAGTTGTTTCCAAGTTACCAAACTGAATACTAATATTAAACATTTTTGCTTTAAAAATATTTAATCTCTTTGGAAAAGAATTCTATTGTTTAAATATAAATTTTATCATTTATTCCCTTTTGTAACTTTGATGGCACTCATTTTTCTTAGGTATACCTTTGACACACCCAGGTTCTTCTGCATTCATGGCAGTAGCTGACCGTGCCATTATCTTTTTTTTTTTTTTTCGAGACAGGGTTTCTCTGTAGCTTTTTGTTTCCTGTCCTGGAACTAGCTCTTCTAGACCAGGCTGGCCTCGAACTCACAGAGAACCGCCTGCCTCTGCCTCCTGAGTGCTGGGATTAAAGGCGTGCACCACCACTGCCTGGCCCATGCCATTATCTTAAATTCTGCATCTTTCGAGTAAATTTTTCTCCTTGGTCTCTACGTGCAAGGAATTCTGGAGTCTATATGGATATCCCCTGAGATAACTGAGAGAACACATGTAGAACTGAATTCAGTCTCCTCATCTGCACTTGCTCCAGGTTCCTAAAGGGAACTCTTCTTCAAAGGGGAAGGTAATATACTGTTGAAAGACTATTGTTATTTTTTAGTTGATTGGTTCCCTTCTACCACATCTGTGTTTCTCAAATAAGAAAACAGGGGATTTGAAATCATAGTTTCTACCCTCTAGGTTGAAACTCATTCCTGGAATGTCTTGCCTTCATGATGAATATTAGTCATGTTTTCAGACTATAAAACCTTAAGAATAGTCATCAAGTGTTATGAGAACTTGGTAAAATGGCAGGAAAAGAGATAAACATTTGACATGGATCATCTTAATTTTAAGCCATAGGGTACTAATTTTTCCATGAAAATTTTTATGATAAATTTGTATGACTATTGTATAAAAATCTTAAAATCTGAAAATATGTGTGCTTATATTTTTATTAATTTACATAATTTTACTTTATGGAAGAAATCATATTCATTGGCACATTTATATTGTAGGTAAGTCTACTTTATTACTGCCATGCAAAACCATGTCTTTTTTTGACCCTAGCCTTTTTGATTCCTCTTTAAACAATGTTGATTCTTTTATTGAATGCCCTAGAAGGTTCTGCCAGTTTCAATCCCAGGAGACTGGTACCCCATCTGTTTAACTGGAAACCATCTAATCCAAACAGACACTCCTGTTCTAAGAGGTATCTCCAGGGCTCTGGGAAATCAAATCTTTTATTCTGGACTGCATGTATATCTCTCACTTGACAGCAGCATGTTAAACACATTGGGATAAATGCACAGATGCCCTTGCACCATGGAAGTTGGCTAAATTCTACCCGAGTTTCAACAATGCAAAATAGAAAAGGCAACAAGTACTTCACAAATAAAGAAGATGCCTTGGCATGAGCTGCTTGAAAACTCACAACACCATTCTCCTCCATTTTGAAGTTAAAGGAATCTTGCGAGTTTGAAATTGATATGGTCCAACTTAAATTATAGAAAGAACCCAGAATTCTCTCAGAGGCTACTTTTTCATTTCCAACTGCCCATACCCAAAATAACCACACAGAAACTGTATTAATTAAAACACACTGCTTAGCCAATCACTTAAGCATATTGCTAGCTAGCTCTTATATCTTAAATTAACCTAGTTTTGTTATTTTATATTTTACCATAAGGCTTGTGGTTTATTTGTAAGATATCCAATGGGCAGCTCATGTCTTTCTCCTCTCGTGGCTATGTGGCTTCTTCTCTGACTACTCTCTCTATATATCTTTGCTAGCCTGGCTATGTTCTGTAAAGCCATTGGCCAAAAGCAGCTTCTTTATTAACCAATGACAATAAAACATATTCAAAGCATACAGAGGGGAATCTCACATCACAGAATCCTAGGCTTCAGTGAAGAATTTTTTAGCAAGACTAAGTGCTTGGAATGTGGCTTTATGAAAAATCACATGCCTACTGTCTGTGAAGCCTGGGGTTCAATTACCAGCTACCCCACTAAAAACCCTAATCAACACCTGAACATTAAAGAATAACTGGATTGAGTTTTCAGATCTTAGCTACATTGATATCATTCTTCATAAGTAAATCTTTCAATTTCAATGCTGCCAAAATATCTCCTCTTCATAGAGGCAATGATTATTACGTGAAAAATGTCCACATTTATTCTTTTAATACAATACCTGATATTACTGTTTTTTTGACATTGACACTGACAGTTATATTCAAATAGATGTTGCTTGTTTGGGTCCTTAAGTATCCGCTGCTATTGAATACCTCAATTTGTGGTTTGTAGCAGAGGTGACAATTAACACTCTTCTCAGAGAGTGTTAATTTGGATCATAGTTGAGCAGTCTTCTGGCTCCTTTTTATAGTTCTTCAGCATTATACCCATGTTCCCCTTGGAAGAATAAATGATTAGCATAAATGAAAAGATTCTTCAAAAATAATTTGCTCTTTTCTGTCATCCATTTTAATACTTGTATCCTTTTTTGTTTCTTAGAGTCTGCATCTCATGCCAACCCATCCTCTTTGGTATTCTTTTTTTCTTTTTTCAGGCAGTGATTACTGAATGTTCTTTCTAAATATTTACCTCATGAAAATTAATTTTATTCCTTGGTTTTTACTTTTTTCTCCAAATTATCCTTATTTTAATAAATTATCTATTGATGTCTGTGGCATTACAGATATTGTACATTTGTTACCTTTGACTCAAGTATGATTTGAAAATAACAACGGGTTAAGTAACTTAGCCGAAGATTGGAAACCCCTAGATTTGTACATGAGAGCAGGAGTGTGTGTGCACAGTAAGGTGAAGAGAAGCATTTCCCAGTACCTAGACCTGGGGGATTTCTGAATGGAGGTATAAGAGGTAGAGTAAAATGGAATTGTTATGTGAACCAGCCTCCACCGCCTCATGAGCACACTGTAATCTGTAGTTTGTGTGTGAACAAGCCTCCTCCACTTCATAAGCACACTGTATCCTGTGGTTTATATGTGAGCCAGCCTCCACCACCCCATAAGCTCACTGTAATCCATAGTTTTTATGCGAACCAGCCTCCAGGGCCCCATGAGCTCACTGTAATCTCTAGAGTGTGTTTGTTTGCCAGTAGACAGGCATGGTTTTTTTTTTTTTTTTCTGTCCACCATGAATCATACCTAAAGACAAAGCTGATCTTGTTTTCTTATTTTTCTTTTGCCAGCCATAGTCTGTATCTGTGGGTCCTAGCAAGGCCCCTATACCAAGACTGTTTCCCATAGTTGGCTACTAGAAAACAGCGGAGCACGGTAGAGGCAGTAAAACTTCTCACAATCACTTAAAATGGGATAGGGACCCTGGGCTCTTCTCACTTTGTATTCTACCCATAATGTGAATGTATCTCTACCATATGATCTTCAAAAGTCTAAAAGCAAAAGGTTCTCCTGATGATTAAAAAAAGTTTTTCTTCTTTATAAGTTGATGTATTGCGTATTTGTTATGGTAACAACTGACGAACAAACCAACCTTCATGGCCTCATTAACCTGAAAAATGTAGTTTTTAATCAATTATGGTATCTTTTATCAGTGTGGAGATTTAATTTTATCAGTTGGAAATAGCTTACAGGACAAAGGAGTTGGAAAAAATTATGCACAGGAAGAGCAATGCCTGTTTCCAAAACCAACCCATCTCTACTATACATATAATATAGCCACTAAGAGATACAAGTTAAATGTATGACACTCATTATCTTTCAGTCTTTTTTCTGTGTATCTTTAAAGATTTATTTTTTTAATGAAAGCCGTGATTTCATATTTTTATTGTCTATCATCTATCTTTACATGTGGATGCTTATGTCTGTGACTGTAGCCCTATCTGTATGTGTAAATCTATCTGTCCTAACCTTTTTTTTAATTTATTTATTTATTAAAGATTTCTGCCTCCTCCCTGCCACTGCCTCCCATTTCCCTCCCCCTCCCCCCGATCAAGTCTCCCTCCCCCGATCAAGTCCCATCTCTATTTCACGGCACTGGTCATACATTGGGTAAATGAGAGAGAGAGTAGAAGAATTCTATTTTTTATTTCCTTGATTTGTTTTTGTTTTTATTTTTGAGACAGGGTTTCTCTATGTCGGACTAGCTGTCATGGAACTCCATCTGAAGATCAGGCTAGCCATTAACTAAAAGATCCATTTGCCTCTGCTTCCCAAAAGCTGGGACTAATGACACGTGCTACAACAACCTGGTGAAAGAATTGATCTCTCAAATACAGAAATATGTTTGTAGAATGCTGACCAAACCCTCATAGAGGAAATCAGCATTAGCAATCTTGTTAAGAGGCAAGAAGTGTCTTCTATTAAGCAATGGCTTCTAAGACACAACAGCACAGTATCCACTGATGTTTTCCTGTGATATTTAATTAGGGACAAAATACAGGTAGTCTTTATGAACTTTCTGAAATTAAAAAAAAAAAAAACTGTTTTTCCTCTGCCAGTTCACACATTCTCGGGACACCTTTCCCTCTCTTTTATGAAGTCTTCCCCATACAAACTGAGCAAAGCTCAGAAGTAAAGCTAACCTCTAGCAGAAGGAATTCATTCCAAAGGAAAATACATTTGATTTTCAATGATTCTGTCCACTCATATTTTTCACAAGAGTTGGAATGCAGTTGTGACTATACTGAGTATATTGCCTTGGATCTTTTTCTACCTCAAGAATTTTTGAGCATATAAAAGTGTGAAACTATTCACCTGATAGTCTTTTCAACAGAAATGCTTAGGAAGTTTATAACAAGAATGACTTTTAGAGCAAAAATAAATAGGGTGCAAAAAAGAATTTTCTATTGAAATGTTTCTTAAACTTCAAAAAAAGCATTCAATGAGATGCCTTTTTAATAATTCTTAATCATTTCTAACATGATTAAGATAAACAACAGGAATCTTGTTGGGGCTGGGGAGATGACTCAAGGAAGTGCTTGTTGGACAAGCATAAGGAACTGAGTTTAGTCTCAATCACTCAGGTAAATAGCTGGAAATGGTAGTGTGCCTTTGTGAGCCCAGTACTGGGGAGGTAGCTAAGGAAGGGTCTCTGGAACTCAGTGTGTAAGCCAAAGATCCCAATGAAAGGTCCTTTTTTGTTGTTGTTTTTGTTATTTTTAAGTTAGATAGATGACTACTGAGATTTTCTTCTGACCTCCACATATACACACACACATGTACCCACCCACACACCTAGAAACTACACACATCGCACGTGGGATTTTGGCCTGAAAATCACACACAAATTTTTAGTCCAATAAAACTACTAATAAGTAATTAAATAAATAAAAGAATGTAAAAATGTCTCTTGAGGTACAGCAAATCACCAGTTAATATATTTCCATGGTATTATTGCTACCAATAAACCTACTTTCAAATTGGAAACTCTAATTTGTTTTCAATTAAAGGAATCATTTTTTTTCTTCTTTCAGACATAGGATCTCAGTAGGAAAGGGAATTGTGAGTCCATGAATTTGATGACTTCTTTTTCCACTATAATAGTCTCGTTGGTCACACTGGTTGAAGGGCTTAGAATCGCAGTGTACGCTGAGCTCCTGATGGCCTGACCTGCTCGTTGTCAGAGGTTGAATAAGATCTTCATTCACAAGAAATATGCAAGAGAAACATTCTGGTGAAGCCCTAGTACCTACGTCGTCCTTAAATTGTACTTCTCTGTAAAGGAAAATTCTAAACTTCTGAACTCACTGATAGTCTGCCGTACAACCCAGTAATGGTCTTAAGTGACTTAGCACATTTTATAGTTATATACTGGAGTTGTTAGTAATTCAGATCTGATTTCCTCCTCAGAGTAAAAATTAAGGGCAAGAACCAGATCTGTTCTCTAATTCCTATTAATCTAGCCCAGTGCACTGCATCTAGCAGGTTTATTGAAAATAATTATCTAATGACTGAAATGCATGGCTCTTTTTGGGCTGAAATGTACATCTCATTCCTGCCAAAGCTGTTTCTCCAAATCCAACCCTCTTAAAGAATCTCCAACAAAGAAAAGCTACCAAAAGGTTGAGTTCTGCATTCCGTTCCTTCCCTGAAGTTGCCACATGCCCAAATGCCCATCCAAAGAGTTATAATTGAGTACAAACCCAGCTTGTATTGGACAACATGTCACCACCTGTCACCATGCCTTGCCTACATGCCCCTCTTTATTTTTATTTATTTATTTATTTATTTTTGGTTTTTCGAGACAGGGTTTCTCTGTGGCTTTGGAGCCTGTCCTGGAACTAGCTCTTGTAGACCAGGCTGGCCTCGAACTCACAAAGATCCGCCTGCCTCTGCCTCCCGAGTGCTGGGATTAAAGGCGTGTGCCACCACCACCCGGCTCCTGCCCCTCTTTAGATTGGCCAAAGGATTTCTCCTGCCCCATCTCCTGGCTTGATCTCTGGGGGCTGGAGGACTCACCTGGGAGTTGATTTGCTCAAAACAAACCTGTTCTTTTGCTTTTTCAATTTGCCGTGATCTGGCTTACTGTGTCAGTGGCGAAACCTGTTATGAGGTAGAGAAAAATCTATTAGATCTTATTTCTTTTACCACATGTTAGGCAGGAAGGGAAGCAGCCAACTCTGAATGGAAGGATTGCTCTACGTGTTTCTCATTGTCGAGAAAGTTATGGGAAGAGATGTAGGGTTTTCCTTTCCAGTTTCTGTTCATTTCCGTCACCAACCAACTACAATGTGTCAGGCACTATTTTAAGAGCAATGAATGTTTTTTTTTTTTTTTTGACAGCTAAGTGCTGGGATGTGATGTTGGGAGGTACTGAGGTGCAATACCGAGAAGAACGAAGTGTCCTTGTGTTGTCTTAGTTTAATGGGGCTTCTTACTCAGGTAAATGTTTCTATCTTCCTACTCCTCATGCCCCATACCATCACCCTTCTCTGCAAGCCTCACCCTTTGCTATGGACCCTTATGCTCTCCCTGGCCAGACCAGGCCTGTGTCGAGCAAACCTCAGCCTTTACGTGGCATCATAGCATTTCTGATTTGAAACACAGTCCCGAGTCTAAGTGCTTTTCCTGTAGACTTTGCAGCAGTTTCTCCGACTTGGTTTCTGTTTTGTTTATTCTGCGCCACTTTTCTCTCTGTACCTCAGGCTACTGGCAAGCGTAAGCATCACTTTAAAAGTAATTTAGGAAATAAGTGCTCTTCCTCTAGGGTGCAAATAAGAGGAAAAGTTGCAGTAAATAGCTAATGCAAGCGAAGGTGCCTTGGGGGAACCCTAAGAGTCGCTTCTTTCAAACCAGCAATAACTTCTGGTACTATTGGTCCTGAGGCAGCAGCCGTCAACATTGTTTAAAAAAGCTCCCTCATGGTGCTCTCATTAATTAACTGCACTGTTTGTGGATTCTAGATTGATTCAGTTTGTTCTCTGGAGAGCACTTGGGGAGGCTCGGAAATGCTTGATGCAGAATTTCATCTTCAGGCCCTAAGCTCCCAGGATGGAGGTTTACTGGGACATATAGAAGATGAAGTGAAAAAGAGAATTTGTTAGATAAAAATGATAATCAAAATATTTTAAATTCAGATGTAATTTTTGAAGATGTTCCCCACAGAGCTAAAAAATCACCTGAAGCAAAGTTTGACTGACAGGCGGGCTTAGCAAACACAACAAGACAAACGGCATGCAAAGCAGATAGGGAAGTATTTGTTGCTAATGACTTGAGAAAGCATTTTAATTAAGTTGTTTGCCAATTAATGCCTCACTTCTAACATTCCATAAATATTTAAACGTTTCCTAAACTCACTTTCTTACATAAATACTTGCAAATGTTGCTATGGAGCTTCTTGGGGAATTTCACAAGATATTAAAAAAAATGTAGCATTTGTAAGAGTCTACCTGCCATTCTCATCTTGGTAGCTATTAAACTTTAAAATGTCTGATATGCCTAAGCACTTCTTCCATCCTGTTCCCCAGCGAGTAAATAACAATAGGGTGCTCACTGTTTGAACCTGTCATAGAAAACTGAAGATATTCTGGGGGCACCGAGGATAGCATATTTAAATTCAAATCATTAGTCAGATCCAAGAAAACATTTTCAGATAATGCCCTACAATCCAACAAATAGCTATTATTAATAATTGAGTCATCCGACTTAGAAAACACCAAGATATTGCCTCCTCAAGCTCAGTGAAACAAATAAGAGTATGTGAGTCTGGCCATCTTCACGGTGCTAGGTTTGGATTATATTTGTAAGATAGCTATCACCAACCCCGAATTGCCAAACACCCCTCTCTTCCTGCTTACTCCTTCTTGGGATGAGCATCCTTACACTTATCACTTATGTGGTTTTCATGAAACAAAGGAATGCAAATAGACCATAGTTGGAATTCATGCAGACTGCTAAGGACACTTGTTTGTTCATCAATACACGGCACTTTCTTGTATGACACAGTGACCATGTCATTTATCACCAGGCTGAGAGGCTGACCCACCTGTCCTAGAAGCCATAAGCACATCTGCCAGCTGACCTACTATGCAGCTGTCAGGTGGCAGCAGAAAAAGGAACCACTTACGCCAAGTCATTTATAGTGGAAATCAGAGGGGAGGGAAAGAAGTCACAGGGGAGTTTTTCCGATAATGAAATGTTTGCTCCTTCAGAGACTGTGGGAGTAAGTAGGGCTGGCAGCAGAAGGTGGGTAGGAGGCTTTAGAGAACACCCATGAGGAAATCCACATCTGTGCACGCTGGAGGATAGTAGCAGAGCCTTCTCCATGGGCCCATGACAAGTGTCTCCAGTCACTCAACCCTATGAGCAGATCACTGTCCCCATACCAGGAAAGCCACATTGTTTGTGTTACAATGGGAGAGTTGAGCAGTAATAACAAAGTAACTGCTGCAGGAACTTAGCTATGTAGTAACCCAACCATTCCAAGAGTTCTGAGCTCGTGGTGACTTCTGTTTGCTATGTAGATGACATTGAATATTGAGATGACAGAGGCCATCTGCAGAGAAATCTCCCATATGGAGACCCTTCACAAGACAGCATCTGGTGGCTGTCTTAGTTAGGGTTCTTATTGCTGCAAAGAGACACCATGACCATGGAAACTCTTATAAAGAAAACATTTAATCGTGGTGGTTTGCTTATAGTTTCAGAGGTTCAGTCTTTGCCATCTTAACAGGAGCAGGACGGCATGCAGAAAGACGTGGTGCTGGAGCTGCTTCATCTTGTAGGCAACAGGAAGTCAACTGAGACACCAGAGAGCATCCTGAGCATAGGAAACCTCAAAGACCGATGCCACAGTGGCACATTTCCTCCATCAAGACCATACCCACTCCAACAAAGCAACACCTTCTAACATTGCCACTCCCTATGAGATTATGGGGGCCAATTACATTCAAACTACCACAAGGGCATAAGAAAGGGGTTAGGAGGCCACTTTACTGTGGTTTTGAGTCCCCGAATGTCCACATTCTCCATTGGTGATGAAGAAATTAGTTGGGGTTATGTGGATACCAGCACATCATGTACTGATATGGCATGAGCTGGATGGCATTGTTGCCTAACTCCAGTCTGTTTAGGCTTATAATTTTAAATACTTACATCATCTGGGACTTATAACTTGACTGGCGTTTAATGAGAAATCGAAACTTTTAAGATGTGATTTTTAAAAAAGGAAAGGAAAACAAAGCCTCCTATGATGGTTAGTTTTGTGTCAGTTTGCCTGGGCAATGGGATGCCCAGATACCTAGGTAAGCGTTACTTCTGAGTGGCAGTGTCTATGGAAGAAATCAGTAATTAAAGAAAAAACAAATAAAACTGGGTCAGACTTGTCTTCTTCGCCCAATGAGGATAGGTTCCCGCCAGTCTCCTGGGGCCTGGATAGAAAGGAAAGGAGGAAGAATATAGATTTCTTTCTTTGACTAGTTTAGCTGAGGCTCAGTTTCCTGCCTTCAACACTCCTCGGTCTCAGAATTTCACATCCATATTAGCTTAGACATCACACATCTTTGGCTCTCACACCTTCACATTCTACCACCATATTTTCATTGGGAGATTGGGAGACCTCTCATCTTTTATATTCACATAATACTAATATAATTACTAGAGTGTTTATAGATCACCAGTAGAACATTAAATATGTATTTCTCCTGTTGGTTCTGTTTCTCTGGAGAACACTGGCTAGTCCAGCCTATAGAGATCCTATTTCACAACCACATAGCAGATGGCAAAATACGGCTAACGTGATATAGTCCACATTTCTTCCCTTGGCTGTGAGAAAATATCAAGAACTAATCTCATCTTATTGTAAAGTAGACAAAATGAAGCCACATGCAACTGTTTTCAGACACTGCCCAACTTTGCAGGACTCTTTAGGACAATGGTTCTCAATGTTTCTAAAGATATGACTTTTTAATAAAGTCCCTCATGTTGTGGTAACCCCACAACCATAAAATTACTTTTGTTGCCACTTTTTAACTGTAGTTTCACTCCTCTTTAGAAATGTAGTGTAACTATCTTTGTTTTCGGGTGCTCTTAGGTGATTCCTGTGAAAGAGTCATTTGACCCAAAGGGGTCACAACCCACAGGTTGAAAACCACTTCTTTAGCCTACCTTCCCTAGTTTGTACCTGAAGGTACTTTGCTGACCTTAGCCCTGGACAAGATTCTCCTCTGTTCTGGCCTAGTCTGGGAGACAGATTTGTATTAAGAAGCTCAGGCAGGTGCAACTTGAGATACAATTAGAAGTGAGGAATGCAGAGAAAGAGGTTGAGATATGCCTGGGCTTCTGGAGTCTGTTGCCGAGCACAATCTGGGCAGGGGCAAACCTCCACTGGACTGGCAAATAATCATGAGTGTAGCAAAGAACATGACTCACAAAGCTCCCCAAACAGAAGCCAAAGTCAGAGGAGTCCAGGCAGATGGCCAGGAATTAAGGGGGTCACAGAAATCCAGAATAAAACAAAAACTCAGGAAAGTTAAGGACTCCGTGAAACCATCTGATTTTTCTTGTTATAATCAGACAGAACCTGAATATTTTGAAATTTTCACTTTGCTTTCCCCTCCTTAGCTCCATTATTTTATACCAGCTATAGTTTGTTACAAGTGATCTGCAAAAATATACTTATTATAGGTTTCCAGTTTTAAAACATTTTGATACATCCTCTTGGGACCTAGTCTCTGATCCATTTCTGTAACAAATTCCAACTTGTATAGAATAAGAACAAAAGTCTATCTTTGTTTAAGACGTATAGCAGTATCTTTTTAAAAATGCAATGTTAAGTCTTCTTGTTTAGACTTTTCAAACCCAAATAGTATATATATATTATATATAATATATATATTACCATTATGATGTTATATTTGTAAATTTCTTTTTATGTAGAAGAGAAAAGATTACAATAAATATAGAATCTGATTGTCATATTTTCCTTAGTGAAACATCATGTTGGGGCTCAGTAAATAAAAGCTCAAAATACAACACTTTGGCTCGTGGGTATGTTAATCATTGTTTTAATTGGCATGTGAGACATGTGCACATGTACACAGTACAGTACTATTCAGGGCATGTATGTGATGTGTGGTAACCAATTGATGCTTTCTAGGAATGCAGGAATGGATTCATTTTCTCCACCAACTAAAGAATGAAAAGGCAGGAGGAAAGAAGTGCTATTGGAAATTGTGGGGAGTCCTGATGAGGTCACCATGTCAGATAAATCAGGGTCCTGTCATGGGTTCTTAGTCTCATCCATTAAAAAAAAAAAAAAAAAAAACTGAAGAATGGTCTCAAGCGGAAGCCCCAGGATAATTTGGAGGGAAAGTGGAGGTGGCGGTGAGGAAGAGACAGAAATCTTTAATAAATAAATAAATAAATAAATAAATAAGAAAACAAAACAAAGCATGAGGTCAGACAGGCTGTGAATGTGAAAGCTGCCCAGAGGAAGTGAATGGCCATGCTAAGCCAGCATGGAAGTCAGTTGTGTGGTGGCAGGCATCTGCAGTGATAGGGCTAGGGAAGTTTAGGAAAGGCACTAGAAAGCTCAAAGCAAGTACTAGAGGGTTTGAGAGCATACATGGGCTCTGCCCAGCATCCCAAAGAAAATGACAGAAAAAAAAAAAAAAGAATAGGCATGTCTTTCTAAGACAGGCAGACCAGCAGAACCTTAAGGTGGCTGGTAGGGACTGCACTAGTGGGTACATGGAATAGGTGAGCGTCTCCCTTCCCAGGAAGTAGTCCGCCAGCTTGGCCACTGACAACTGGCTTAACTCTTATGATAGACAACAACTGCATGTCTCCACCCAGAGGTAGATTCCAATCTAGATAAGTAGTATTTGAGTCTTCTCAAATACTGTCATTTCTACATATTGGGAAACCCCAGTTTTTTCTCTTGAGGGTGCTTGTGATACATGATTAATTGATGTACACTGTCTGACTAAGGCATACAACACCAGAAAGGCTCCCCCGCTTTATTAGTTCCTGCTTATCATGACAAAAGACCCAGGGTAAACAAATTATGAGTTCGGCTCATAGTTTTGGAGGCTTCAATCCAGTTGAATGGTCTGATTTCATTGAGCCTCTGGTGTACCACTGTACATTCAGGCAAGAGAACATCTATTCTCTCATCATGGCCAGGAAGCAAAAGGAGAGAGGGAGGTGTGAGTGTCCAATAGCCCCTTTCAGGGTACACATCCAGATGACCTAAATACTGCATCTTAAAGGTTCTTTTGCTATCTAGTAGTCACAGAGATAATAACCAAGCCTTGAGCATTAGGAAGCATTTCAGATCCAAACTCCTCCTGATGTGGTAAGTGGTATGTGCTGTAAATATGTTTTATTGCCATTGGTTATAAAGATGCTGTTTTTGGCCAATGGCCTAACAGAGTAAAGCCAGGCAGAAAATCCAAACAAAGGTGTAGAGAGAGAGTAGGCAGAGTCAGAGAGATGCCACATGACCACTCTGCCAAAGGAAAAACACCTGAGCCACTAGCCAAAACTTTGCTGGTAGGCCATGACCTTGTGGTGATGCACAGATTAATGGAGATGGGTTAATTTAGGATATAAGAGCTAGCTAGAAATACGTTTAAGCTGTTGGCCAAATAGTATTGTAAATAATTTAGTTTCTGTGTGATTATTTTGGCTCTAAGCGTCCAGGAACAAACAAACAGCCTCCGCCGACATCCTCTAGTTGTGCTTTTGTTCCCGTAATCAACCCTGTTCCTCTTTCTCTTCATTCTAGCTGCTGATATCCCCTGTTCTAACCCTTTCCCTGTGTTTTCACATTCCCTAAATGAGAACACCATGGATTTGTTGTCCCGTGGCTGACTTCCTTTGACACCATCACCTCCAGTTTCTATGGTCAAATAATATTCCATTGTGTATACATGCCACAGCTCTAAATCCACTTCTCCACCAACAGACACCTTCATGGCACACAGGTGTCCCTTTTGTATGTAGATTGCGTTTCCTTCAGATAGATCCATACCCAGCAGTGGCATCACGGGATCCCGTGACCATCCTAGTCTCAGTGTTCTGAGGAATCTCCACTCTTTATCTCTAAGTCTACTCATGTATAGTCCTACCAACACTATCTGCGAGTCCCCTTTGAGCACCCTGAGGGCTTTAATGAATACTGAGATGATGTGGGAGTGTCATATCAATCTGTTGATTTCATTGGCTGAGCAATAAAAGAAACTGCTTGGCTGGCCCTGAGGTTAGAACATAGATGGGAGGAGAAAACAGAATAGAATTCTGGGCAGAAGAGGAAGTGAGGTCAGACTCTGCTCTGCTCCCAGAGAGACACCATGCTCAGCTCTCCCAGGCAACTCCAACCCACGATGGACTTAGGCTAGAATCTTCCCGGTAAGCGCACCTTGGCGTGCTTACACACATTATTAGAAATGGGCTAGTCCAGGTGCGAGAATTAGCCTGTAAGGGCTAGAGTTCATGGGCCAAGCAGTTCTTTAAATGAATACAGTTTGTGTGTTGTTATTTCGGGCATGAGCTAGCCAAGCGGCCGGGGTGTTGGGGACGCAGCCCCGCCGCCGCTCATATTTCAACACTGAGAAGTATCAGGAGTAGCCTCAAAAGCAAACTTTCAGACATTTTGCTTTTTTTATCTTTTCTCTGGAAGTTGCTCATAAAAATTCTTCTATTCTCCCAGGTAAGCCATAGAAAGCCATAGCTTGAAATCTAATAATAATAACAACAATAATAACAATAACTCCAGGCTTCTCTGATTCTCTACACTAAAGAAAAAAATGAACAATTCTGAAGTACTGATCTTCAGACCTCTGTTTCAGAGGGGCTCTTTCTCAGGACTGGCATGAAGGAACACCACACAAAAAGGACCCTAAGATCCTGAGCAGACAGGCATGCTGGATCACGGCCCTCAGCCTATGCCATCCCATTGCAGCCTATTTTCTGTCCAATGACATTTCTTTGTGGCTGTTGATTCACCAGCAAACTTAGTTAGGCAGAATACTACAGAATTTTCCGTGAACTTTTAATTGTATCATATAAAACTTGAATAAACTTGCTATGGTTCTCTCTTGTGAATCTTTCATATTTGTTTCTTTCTAATTTATTTGTTTTTATTTTATGTGCATTGCTGTTTTGTCTGCATATATGTCTGGGTGAAGGTATCAGATCCCCTGGAACTGGAACCAAAGACAGTTGTAAGCCACCATGTGGGTGCTGGGAATTGAACCCAGGTCCTCTGGATGAATAGTCAATGCTCTTAACCACTGAGCCATCTCTCCAGGCCCATTTGCTTCAGTTTTGTAATGGTAACATTTTCATGGATCCTTTTGACAGGTGAGGAGTGTCATTAGCCTTCTGTCCCTGCACTGCTTATCCTATCAGGCAACCTGAACAAAATTTGATGACGTCAGTATTTTCCTGCTTCATCTCACGTGACACCTTCACTTTCAAACATTACACAACACTACATTACTGATTTATATTTTCTGCAAATTTTAGTAGTTGATAGCTGGATTTGGACTTCTTTTATTATTTCTGAATCTATGATTTCATAGGTACACTCATGAATTTGAAGTTTCAAAGTGGCCATGCCTTCTCTCCGCTGCTGACACCATGCATCACTCTTGCATTCTCTTCGGACTTAGCTCACTTTAAATCTTAGCATGCATAACCACAAACTGCTTCCATTCTTTTGGAAAATAGTTATCTTATACTTGTCTACTGCTGCTGTTTCAAACTGTTTAGATTGACATGACTTTCAGCGCATCTGTACTCTCCCCCAATACACACACACTACCAACTTCTTTACAGTTTCCTGAGTTTCTATGGTTTCCTGATCACCCATCTCCACCCCTGCCCCAACTCATGCATCAGGAGTCTCCTGTGGCTCACTCAGGGAGCCAAACCTCATCTCCTGCTTCACAAATCCTTAGGACCCCTGAGTTATTTTTGTGGCTCTGAGAACAGCAGCAAGGTCTATTTTATCAAACAGCTTATCTGTCCTTAGCTAAAGGAGAACCCAAATAAAAACATGTACTGTGACATTCCCCTGTGTCCTTTGTTAGCTTCTGCTTCTCCCTGCCCTACTTCCATTTTTAATTTTATGCAAGAAATCAGGTAGGGTTTCTATCAAACTTCTGGTTGGAGTTTACTTGGGCATTACTGTATCTACTACATCTAGGTTCCTGATTGGCTCCTAGGGCATGACTGTGTCTAATACATGTAGACTCTAGATTGGCTTGTGAATCATAAAATCTGAGACTTGTTGGGATTTCAGAGTAGCTTTTCTGCTGTGCCTGAGACACTGAGACTCGGTTTCCTTTGTTTCGGTTGAATTCCTTGTGTGTTCCAAGTCATTTCCCAGTTGCTTTCTAGATTTTCTAAATTTGAAAGTTAATAAATCATTTTCTTTGTCTGGATGAGTGATTCATCTCCTTATTAATTAAGCCTGCATTTCTTCTATGTACTAATAACTTCTAACATTTGCTGCTCGGTATCATGAATCCATAAACTGACAACTTACTGAAGTTTTAAAAAGAACTTAGTGTTAATGCTAAATCTAAATTTCAGATTCTTGTATGAATCCATCAGTTTTTTCTTTGTAATAACACCTTTGGATTTGCTCCTTTGACTACTGTCCTAGTTTCTTCCATAAGATTCTCTCCCCCACTCTGTCCCCCACTCGTTCCCCCACTCTGTCCCCCACTGGTTAGCCTCCTTTTTCAAAGACAGTTATTGAATTTATCATATTACTGCTGGTGAATTTTGCAGAGTGTCCACCATTCTTCCTGCCTTAATTTTGTTGTGCACTTTGGTTCTGTGTTTGCTTAGCCACTGATACCATTTTTATTTACTTGCATTTTTTTTCTCTCTTCTAGCTTG